TCTCTCTCTCTCTCTCTCTCTCTCTCTCTCTCTCTCTCTCTCTCTCTCTCTCTCTTTCTTTTTCGATTCGTTTAGGAAAAAATTAAAAGATCGAAAAAGATTAGGAAAGAACTCTTTCGTTTGATAGATTCCCGTGGAGTTCGGGAAATTATGTAGAAAAAAGAAAAAGAAAAAAAATTATGTATAGAAAAGAACGATGATTCGACACTGTGGGCAGTGATATTTTTTTCGATCGATAAGAAATTATGCAAATTACGAAGGTTTCGGTTTCCAGTTCTCGGAGATGGTTATTATTACTGCACAACTCCCGATCGTCCCGCTTTTTCGAAACTTAATTTAACATCTGGATAACTTCCCGCATCGTCCTCGAGACTTTCTCTCAGCTTCGTTCTGCGTTTTCTATCGCGCCAGGGATTTCTATTTTCACCTATTAGCCTAATTGTACGCGCGAACGGGCGAAACGAAGAGGATCGGATGGTGGATGAAAAGCAGACACCGACCAAGCCTCTCTCGTTATGCTTAATTATTGTGTAACATATATTACCGATTATTGTCGGTCGTGAAAAAGCGAGAAATTAACGCGCGCCGTGTTTATCGAGGATGGAGAATCGAGTGATGCCGTTTTCGTCTCATCGGTTAGATGGTATCGATTTAATTAGAGCCACGTGTTTTCAACCAAGGAAACTCGGTCTCGTGATATTCTAGGTCGAATATCGGTATCCACGGGATTTGCGATAGGAAATGCACACACTTTCGAGCCACTTGACCCGCACCAACCTCGTAATTGGAAATATAATCGTCGCGCGGATGCACGAAGGGTGGAAATTATGAATTTTAATGAACAGTGAACAGGGAATGTTTACAACGTGTTAATTAAAAGAATGGCTTATAAACACACGTGTAATAATTTATCGATAAATTTCTATCTTTATACAGAAATCGAGTAAAAATATATATACATATATATATATATATAGCTTTCCACCAGTTGGTTAACTAAGGATGCAGCGTAAAAAGGATCCAGGTGAACGATCACTTTCACCGCATATACGGGATGATCGTCACAGGTTGAATCTCGTCAAACCGCCAATATCTATACAATGAAACGCTCTCCTACTTTTACCAATTAGAAAACAACGACGAGTTTCGAAGAACAATACGACAAGTTTGGAACATCAACGCCTGAATGCCATGATTCATCGGGGCAAACGAAAAGAAAAAGAGCAAAAAAATGAAGAAAGAAAGAAAGAAGGAAGGGAAAAAAGGCATTTACGTAGGAAAGAGAAGAGATGGAATCAAAAGCGGTTTTATTAACAGGTTATTCCGGTAAAAAAGAGGGTTTGTTTGGTGCGGTTTGTCTTTC